AGGGTTAATTAGAAAATGAGCAAAGCAAAGGAGATAACAGCATGCTCTGTTTGTAAGGAAGCTGAGTTTATTGGGCTGTCCAGTATTTCCCTAACTTCACCCACTCTTAGGTCTTGCCTTCTAGTTAATGTTTTCTTTATATCAATTCTTTTTTTAAAAAATCAAATATAGCTGGGTGGGTGTATAGCTGCAGGTGGTACACACCTGCAGTTCCAGTAATCAGGAAGCTGATGGCAAGTTCAAGTCCAGCCTGTACTACATGGCACGACCTTGTCTCCCCCATGCTCCACCAATAAACAAAGAAACAATTCAAAAGTCAAATAAAAAGGAAAAGCAATAATATTTGCTTTCCTGCTTTCTGCATTGCTAACAGTCTGAGTTTGTTTGGGCTGACTAATACACAGACAAAACAAAATACCACAGATTGAGTGGCTCAGACAACAAAAATTTGTTTTCTGCAGTTCTGGAGACTGGAAGTCTGAGATCAGCATGGTAGAACTCTGGTGAGGCCTGTCTTCTTGTCCTCGCATAGCCTTTCCCCAGGGCAGGAGAAAGGAACCTCCTTCCCCCCTGAGAAAAGGAGAGACAAAGAGAAAAGTCCTGATCCTAATATCCCCTTCAAGGTCAGGCCCCCAGTGATTAACTTCCTTCCAGTAAGCTCTGTCTCCTAAAGTTTCCACCACTCCCATTAGTGCCTCAGGCTGGGGACCAGCTCTTCAACATACAGGCCTTTGGGGAACATGCAAGACCCCATGGGCTCGAACTTGTGATCCTCCTGCCTCTGCTACCTGGAATGTGAGATTACATGGGCTGGGGATTTAGCTCAGTGGTTCTGCTGCCAGCCTCACAAGTGCAAGGATCCGAGTTCAATCCCTGGTACCAAAAAAAAAAAAGAGAGAGATTACAGACATGTACCACTCCCAGTTGAAAAGGGAAAATTATACAGATGGTTACCAGTTGTCAGGAGTTGGGGCTAGACTGAATAGTGAAGTATAGGGAATTTTATCAGGAGAGTGAGTAAACTTTGTTTTTGTTTTTGGTTTTTTTTGGTACCAGGGATCAACTCCGGTCCTTGCACTTTCGAGGCAGGCGCTGGAACCACTGACCTACATCCCCGACCCGAGTAAACTTTAATGTATGAAAAATTGAAGAATCATCTAGGAGGTCAATGGACCCCAGAATGAGAGGGCAGAATGTGACCAGAGAACCTAGCCACACCACAAATGTATGAGATGATTTTCACTGCAGGCGCACTGACCTGGAACTGAGTGGACGGTGAAGCTAAAGGCAAAAGGAAGTGCACCTGAGTGAGCACTGGTTCTCAGTCTCATTGATAAAGGTGCTTCCGCTGGAGTATGGGTTGACATTGAAGTGTTTAGAAAGGAAAGGTGGATGGTGGGAGTTGGGTTTCTCAGATAAAAAGGTGGGAGGTGAGAATGATCCAAGTGTAATGGAGTTGAAGCAATCAGTATGAACTTGTGTGGCTTAATTTATAGGTCCAGTTGATTATATACACAACTATTTATAAATGCATATCTACATAGCATACAACATATATCTTCTTGCTCTAGCAGCTGAGAGGGCCTAGGAGCAATTAGCACCTTCACTCCCAGTAGCACCAAGCAACTAGTGTGGTGTCAGATCTTGTTTTGAATCCCATTTTCCAGAAAGATGAATCAGGGATCCTTGGAGGAATGGCTCTTTCTGAGACCCGGCCAGGAAATGCACAAGATTAGCCTGGAGCATCTGGTGGAGCCAGAAAGTAAGTTAATGCTAAAACCAGTGCTTACACACAGTGATGAGGGAGCATCAAAGGGATCCACGAGTTAATTGGAAGAGCTGCCAGTGGATATCTATCTTTTGTGTGCTTGTGTGTGTGTGTGTGTGTGTGTGTGTGTGTGTGTTGCTGGGGATCGAGCTAAGGGCCTCGAGCATACTAGGCAAGTGCTCTACCATTGAACTACATCTCCATCTCTTATTATTTATTTTCTTTTGAGACACAGTCTTGCTATGTTGCCCAGGCTGACCTTGAACTTGTGATCCTCCTGCTTCAGTCTCCCCAGTAGCTGGGATTATAGGCAGGTACTGCTGGACCCTTTTATTTTGATTTTGATTAACATGTATGTATTGTACATATTAATGGGATTCTGCGTGATATTTCAATGAATAGATATGGTATGCACTGATCAAATCAGGGTAATTAACATTTCTCTCTTTGTCATTTTTTAGCAGCTGTTTAAGCCTTTCAAGCTTCCCTCTTCTAGATCTTCATAGATTATATAATAGGTTATTGTGAACCTATAGTCATCCCACCCAGCTTTGGAACATCAGAACTTACTCCTGTGTCACTGTATTTCAGTGATATCTCCTGTGGGATATCTGTATTTTTTATCTATCTATCTATCTATCTATCTATCTATCTATCTATCTATCATCTCTATGTAGGTATGTATCCTATTGATTGTTTCTCTGGAGAACCCTAATATATGGGGGTACCAAGTATGGAGTATACAGAAACTATTTGTATTATCTTCACAGTAATTCTGCAGGCCTAAAACTATTCTAAAATGAAATAAGTGAATGTAATATTCCACCTGGTGACAGTTAGCTAGGTACATATACATGTAAAAACCCGTTGAGCTGTACACTTCATACCTACCTGGTGCATATTACACTCAAAATACTTATAGTGGATGTAATATAACTGAATATACCGAGTTGGGAAAACTGGCAGTGCTAGTAGCTCAGGCCCGGCCTGTCAGTCATCAGTGGAGTTTGACAGCAGGAGCCCTTTAGCCGGGAATGGGCTCTGGGCTCACTGTGAGCTCAGCTTGCCTGCTGTCCCTTGCCTGGCCTTGACCTCTGCTTCAGCTCTCGTCTACTAGGACCTTTGGGGTGGGGGCATATATGAGGTTTGAGGGTCTGTGGGCACTTTTGGCCCCACAGACATTCTTTTTATTTTTTATTTATTTACTTTTTGAGATGCCATCTCATTACGTAGTTCAGGCTTGCCTGGAACTCATAGTGATCCTCCTGCCTCAGCCTCCTGAGTGCTGGGATTACAGGCAGTGCACTACCATGCCTGGCCCCAGCAGACATTCTGTACCCTCCCAAGCTCCCTCCATAGCCCCAACCATGGAGCCTGCTGGGCTGTGGGCTGGGGAGGGATAAGAGGCTGAGGAGTTCTGGTTCCCCCAGCTTATGTTCGTCATTTCCCACCCCCAGCCCCTTCAGGGACACCTTCTCAGACAGCGATACCATCTGTGCCATCTGGGAGACTCCCTGAGAAGTCACTGGGCTGGTGCAACTCATCTCCATCCCCAGGCTGCCAGCTTGGCAGGAAGGAACACCTAACTGAGGATTAGGGATTAATTGGGATCTGCCAGGCAAGCGGTGTTGGGGCTGCTACAGCCAGGCCCGGCACCTCGGCATCCAGGCTGCAGGTTGAGCAGGGCATTGGTGGCTGCCTGCCTGTTTTATCCCCTTGTGAATACCAGGGCTCTGAGCAAGAGCTCCCAGTTCTTCTTGACCGGGAAGGTCAGGGCTGGTCCTCCCTCCCAGCAGGCAGGAGCTGCAGACTAGGTCTTTCTGGAAGAGGCTGAGAATTGTCCTGGGCCCACCCAGGACATCCTCCCCAGTTAGCATTGTGGTTGTAGAGTTCCTGGATGGGATCTGGGTGCAAGTCCCATCTTCTTTCATAATGCGTGACTTTATGCCAGTCCCTCATCCTCCTGGAGCTTCTGGTCCTGGCAGACGCCCTTGATTAACCTTGGGGCAATGGGAGTTCACAGCCAGGTCCTGAACAGGGTAGGAGAAAGTATAAGCAGCTTTTAGAAAGAACAACACAGTAACCTGTGGAGAGAAGGCAATGGGACTATGTGACCTCTGGTAAGTCACTTAGACTTGCCAATTTGGTTTGTATGTTTGTGTCTCCTCCAAAGTCCATGCTGAAACTAAATTCCAAAGGTAACAGAGGTTGGACTTTAAGAGGTGATTAGGCTATGAGGACTCTTTGGACTAGGGCCTTATAAAATGACTGGCGGGGACTAGCTAGGCATTTTTTGCCCTTTCTGCCCTCCTGCCAGCTGAAGATGTAGGGCTAATACCATCTTATGAGCAGAGACCAGGCTCTCACCAGACAGAGGTTACCTGTGCTTTGATCTTTGGCTTTCCAGCCTCCAGAATAATAAATGTTAAAAATTCACGCTGTTTATAGTTAATCCAGTCTAAGTTGTTTTGTTATAGCAGCAGGCATGGACTAAGACACGCTACCTCTCAGTTTCCTCCATATGTGAAGTAGGGCTATGAAGCCTGGGGCAGGGTCGGATTGGGGAAATGTGTATTTGGGTCCCCCAGGAGGAAGAGCAAAAAGGAAGGTAGGGGAACAAGAATAGTAGAAGAATCTCTGATTTCCAGCAGGCCCAATCACACTTTGGCTGACCTAAAAGGTCGCTGGGGGCAAAGACTGCTCAGTAGAGGAGTCTTGTATTAGGCAGAAACAGCGAGGTCCTAATTCCCTAGTTGTGCTTGGTCAGTGGCTGGGGGCTCCCAAGTAGAGTGAGGTGTGAGCCTCCAGCCCAGTCTTTCCCCAAACTAAATCACTCCTTGAAGCTAAGTTCTGGAAGGGAGCTCTGAATTGGTCCCCTCCAGGCTGCTGCAGCAGTAACGTGATCAGGCTGGGAAAAGCCACCTGCCCTGGTCATTTCCTCCACCCTGTAATGCAATCCTTGAGTGGGCAGGGGACATTGTCAGGGTGAGGGGCAGGAACATGGAGTAGAAAACACATCTGGGCTCCAAAAGCAGGTTGGGTTTACCCATCCAGATGTGTCTCCTGACATTGGCTCTGAGCTGAGCCCAGGATCCAGAGAGAAAAACAAAAGGGTTCCCACCCACTGGGAGCTCACAGCTGAGCTTACAGCTTTTGGTCTCAGAGAGCATCCCTGGGGCTTGGGTCTTGGGGCCTCCAAGATATTCAAGAGGCAAAATCCATCTTCCCAGGCTTGATGATGCTTTATTGTCACAGAAACAGAGATGGAGTAAGGGGTGAAGGCAGGCAGGGATGGGGGAGTATCCCAGCTGTACAGGATGGGCTTCAGAGAACACACTTAGTTTGAAGAGGCTGTGGTCCTCCAGGCCTGACCGCTGCCTCCAGCTTCTGTACAGGTTCAGCGAGACATCATTCGCACAAATTCTGCCAGGACAAAGCCAAAGTTTTGGGCCTAATCTCCTGCCCCACTAGAGGTGAGGCCAATCTGCCTATCGAAAGGTGGGAAGGAGTTTGGCTGTGGGGAAGGCTTTTAGGGACACCTCCTGGATCAGGTAGGGAGTAGGACTCAGAACCAGGAACAGGAAACTTAGTCTTAAGGACAAAACAATTTTTGTAACTGAACCCTCCTTCCTCTCTGGTTTGACCACAAGGAAGCTCAGGAGTAACATGGAGCCTACTTTGGGGAATGTGTTTCTCTTTCTCTCTCTCTTTCTATCTCTTTCTTTCTTTCTTTCTTTCTTTCTTTCTTTCTTTCTTTCTTTCTTTCTTTCTTTCTTTCTTTCTTTCTTTCTCTTTCTCTCTCTCTCTCTCTCT